TTTTTTTTTTGGATTTAATGTGAGCCTTAATTCTGCACGGTATTTCAATTACCAGTTGTTGCAGGAGTCGTTCCGTTTATCCTTACGAAAATCTACCCATTACACTGTATGCAGAATCACGTTCACCTATAGGTCCCGATATGACTTTCCTAGTTCCTCGTCATCCGAGAAGAAAACTTTCAGTTAAATATCTCGCTGAGAACAAAGTTGTTTTCTATAATAAATCACATGCTTAAAATTGCTAATAAAATCTAATTTTTTGTTCTTCAGCTTTCCAAATTATACGTCAGTTCAAGACACTTATCACCTTGCAGATGTGGTTTTTTTTTTTCATCTTCTGAACTTGTGTGAAAGTGTTCAATTCTTTTTCTTTAGTCAAATTAAGCAATCGAAGATTGATGGGAAAGAAAAATGTTTCTGTTAATTTTCTACGATTGATTTAAGTTAAGATCAGAATTAAAGAAAGGGAAAGGAGGGAGGAATAAAATTTGCTACTTAGAAATTTTCTACAGTTTTGAAAGGTCAGATTTTTCATTTTGTAGCAATTTTTTAAGGACTTTTCAATTTCTAAAGTTTAGTGTACACACTGCTTAAAAGGCTTCAGAGAAGCATAGGTATATTTTTGAGCGTTCAGTTTCTTTGAATGTTTGCAAGGTGAAAAGTTATGTTGGAAATTTCAAGTTACTCAGAAAATGATTGTGTCGAAGTAGAGAGGGACTGGGTGAAATTGGTTATTGCTACTTGATGATAGATTTCTTGTCAAATTATATACTCACTTTTCTGTTAACACAACAAAGAGATTATTTTGGGATATCCTGGAAAAGTAGCTGTAGTGTCTATGTCTCTGATAGATTAGAATACTAACTACTGTTGATGCAGAAGTAATTTCTTTTGTCATTGTTGTTGTAACTGTTCTCATTGTAAAATTTTTTCATTTAAATCAGTTGTTATTTCACTTTATATTTTGCTGAGTAATATCAGTTGTAATGATATGCTGTAAATTATGTTACATCTAGGTGAACATTTAGTTTATATTAAGGCTTCATTTTAGTTATACAGAATTGAGAAAATCAAAAACAGACATGACAAAGAAAAAAAAAAAAAAGATTAAAAAAAAATTAGGCAGTGATTAATCAGAATTGAGTACTACGCTGTCTTCATCAATAAATCTGGTGATACAGCTCCAGTCGGCTCCGACAGGTTTCAGTGCTTCGGTGATCACTTGATCCCGACCTCGGCCACAACAGAGTGCAATAAGGAGGATTGCGCATAAAGTTACCGCAGTAGCAAAAATACCAATGGCAATCCATTCTTCGACACGTAAACCATTTCGTGACGTCTGAAAAAAAAAAAAAAAAAGTGAATGAAGGATGACGAAGGGAAGAAAAAAAAAGTTAAATCAAATTGATAGATGATATGTGTTAATCTTTCTTTTTTTTTTTTTGAACTCTTGTGAGCAATTTTTCCCCTCTTTCTTTCGACGTTTTTGACGTTTGAATATTTTGCGGTTCTTTTACTTTTTGTTGTTCTGAATTTACGGTTTACTCTTTGAAAAGATTTTCTTCTTTTTCTTTGCATTCTAGAAGTTTGTTTATTTTTGTGTTCAAAAAAAAAAAAAACTAATTGATTAAATTTACAGCTATATAACAAAAATTAGTGAGGATTTTAGAGGGGGGAAGAGGAAAGCGAATTGAAACAGAGAAAGCCACGAGTATGTTATATCATCGATTTGATGGTAAATAACTTTTTTAAAAGAGAAGAAAGAACAGTCTCATATAACTGTACTTTGTTTCCCTTATCGTTTTTGATTTTCATTTGAAAATTTTCTTTCTAACCGATATTTTTGAACTATTCTTGTAAACTACTGAAATGAAGTTAGTGGGACTTGAAGAGAAAACGATGAAAAGCAGTAATTTGGGTAAAAGTTTTGTACAGGCAATTGCTTATTAATCGGTGAATAATTTTGTCAATACACGATAAACTTTGGGAAAAAAGAGTACTTTGCTTCTTCTTCTCTTTTTATTCTAATTTAATCTCAGTTCTG